CTGCAATCCCCGATTCTGCTCGAATGAAGAAGAAAAAAAAAACACTTTGACCATCAAAAAGGGGAAGACGCTTTTTTTTAACTTCACTGTACTGTTTTCGATTTGAAATACTGTACTGATTGAAGAATGATGAAACACAGGGTGAAGAAGTGGGGGATAGTCCGTACAGATGGCGCTACATCATCGAATGGAGTGTGGACAACGAAGTGGCTCTTCAATACATGGGACAACTGGAAATTTTCCTGCCTGCTTATGAATGGACACTCGGGTATTACTACTGGCTTCGCCCTGACGGACACTTGCAAGAGGTTTGTTATTTTTTTTATTCATGTCGTATGAATAAATCATCTTGGAGGCCGAAATTCCTGCATTGGCAGGAACGGAAGTTCTTTTTGTTTAACCAGCACATATATTCAATCAAAAATCACGCGCACTGCTTTTCTTTCCTCAAAATTGAGTGGAAATAGAAGTTGCCCGTCATATAGACGAGTATGAAGCTGAAATTTTTTATTTAGAAGTTTAGGCGTGCATCATATTTGATATTTTATAATGGGAAAATATCGGCCAGTCTAAACATAAATGTTAAATGTTGAATGATGTAATGAAAAAACTGAAAACTACTGTAATTCAGGTTCAATTGTTTTCTAAATTCAAGTTTCGGTGTTCTAATTTTTGATTTATTGAATTTTTAGAGTCACAGAAAGTGGAATGCGCATATTATATAGAGGATACAATTTTATCAAAATGTTTGACTGAAAAACCATGGTGTGCGTCTTTTACTCTATATATAGGGGCATGTTATTATACTCGAGTAAATAAGGTGCTACTGTATGTAGACTTTCAAAGCAAAAAAGTATCACAGCTGACGAATTGCGTCTATGGCCATGAATTCCTCGTTGATATGCATTTTTAAATTTACAAGCTTGTTTCCCAAATATATAAGGTCTTCAGCTTCCTTTTATTTTCAAATATTATCAAGCAAGGACATTTCAGCATCATGTAAATTATATGAAATAATGATTCTTTTTGCGAATGTTTGATGCAAATGTATACAGGACTTCCATTCGACAGCCCTTTTTGAAAAAATACACCACATTGGGTGACAGTACACTTTTTGGGAATCATTACCCACTGCAGTGCATGTATAGTGTATTTCTTTTTTTTAAACTTTCTGGTAACACTTCTGCAGAGAGAAAGAAATGTAACAGATATATGCATCATAAGTTAATAGAGTTTGCGCATGAAATACCTTAAAAATTTGGAGTGCACAAAGATTGCCTTCATTGGGCATTTTCAAAAAGGCACGCAATCATCATCAATAAGTCTTTGTATTTGTTGCTCATCTTGGAATATTTTGAGTAAGCCGCTTTGGATTTCAGAAATATTTTATGCAGGAAAATTGTGAACTGTAAGTTAGAAAAACGAGTATTTATATTTTTTTTTACATAAATAGGTTTTCATTTTTAACGGTAAGACCCTCGACTTTGCAGCGTTTTCCCCCTTTCTCAAGTTTCTGCAAAATAAATACTATTAAGTACCGGAAATTAATGCGGCACATTAATTTACCGAAAAATGTGAAAATATTCGAGGACTTAAAACAGAGCTTCAGGTTTATTCTTTTCGAGTCGTCGTCGCTTGCTCTTGGACCATTTCTTTAAAAAATGAAACACCAGTCAACTTTTTCGTAGTGTAATGACAATTTCAAAAGGGATTTCCTCTTGATATTTACTTATGTTGTCAACTTATTACGTATTTTCGAAGGTATTCTACAACTCGCGTCCAGATTACGGCTTCCGGAACGAGGTGTTCGTCACCAGGGATTTTTTGCCCCAGAATTGGTACACAAACAAGGTGGATTACAGTCAGCAGGTCTACGAAAATACATACGTGCAAGAAGGCAAACGAGGTGAACAACAACAACAGTTGCAGCAAAGAAAACCGGCGGGCAATTAAGCGTAATGTGTCGACAAAGAACAAACGGAACTATAGTTGAATTCGCCAAGTGTACAAAGCACTGTTCCTGTGCTTTCGAACAATGAGGCATTTGTTGTCGAAAGGCTTCATGCATTATTTGGACCAAATAAACAAGTGCGCCTTGATTGCGTCATTAAAAAATTCAAGTAGGATCAGTGTTGTTTATTTTTTTCTTACACCAGGAAAGTATCTTTTTTCAATGCCTGGTTCGAGAGTTGATACAATGTGATTTTTCGTTTCCTCGAACGAAATGACAAATCTAATGAACAGGACGTTCTTTTTCAACCGCAAAAAAACGTTTTCGTCCGATTCGTCCGAACTGCTGCTGACACGGCGCAACGTTGTGATGTTCGCCGATGTCGGAGCTTCCAAAAAAAATTCCAGTCGTTATAAATCAACAGATTCTAATGCAAAACTGTGCATAGGAATGGAAAACATGACACGAATTCCATCATCTCGCGCGGGTTGAATCACCATTCTTTCCCAGTTCCATCGGTTACTGGCACGACTAGAGTAGGCTGCGACACCTGGATGACGTTTGCAGGAAATAAAATGCGATACTCCGGTGGATACTCATAAGGTGGCAGGATCGGTGGCTCGACTCCCGTCTCCGATGGCTTCATCGCCTTAATTTATACAATGGAAAATACGAATTAATCAAAATTCACGCAGGTCATGCAAATAAAACAGTATTTCTGGTACAGAGACAATGAAAAATCAAGCATAAAACAAATTTTCAGAGGGCCCTGTCGAAAAAGAAGGCGTTAATGTAACTCCGGATCCTGCGCACTTAACCTTGCTCTTCTCTCATTTCTTCTACAGTAAATAGAGACTCGTCAGAGAATGTGAAAGGAGGAAAAATTTACACGTCGCTGCAGGAATATTTAAAATTGAGACAGTGAGAAATTAAAATGCCATTTTGAAAGTGGAAAGTTTCAAAAACCGAGCGTAAAAGCGCTAAAGGTATCGTGTTGATCCTATATAGAAAATGTCAATTCCTCATTCTCACAATTTTGTAGTTAAAATTTTTTCTTCAGTTCTTTGTGATATTTTTCATAAACTTTTCCCATTTGCCGTAGAGTGCAAGGAACACAAGACATTGATAATCAAGAGAATTGAGTGTCATACTTTATGCTTTCACTTGAAAAAGTAGTTCGAAGTACATTTATTTTGAATGTTCGGGGATTCGTTCAATAACAGACAATGCTCTTCTATACTTCCGAAAAAAGCGTGTACGTATTAATCAGCAGCCTTTTCACAGAAATTCTTTGCTTAAAATTTTTAATCATTGTCGAAATTTCTTAATTTCCCGAGAAGTTCAAGCAAATAATGCTAGAAAGATTGAAAGGTATCTAAAAAATATTTCGGACATGTACTGCAGTAAATTGCATATATCATTTTTAAATTTAGACGCAGCACTTTGGACTTTGTTCAGCTCTTCAAAAAACCCGACGAAGCAATCATATCTGAGATTATGAGACTCGGGAAGCATTTCAAAGTTCTGTATGTACAGTACGTTGTACAATAATTATATTTTTATTTTTTATTATTTCTGCCTTTTCGAATTGTTATTGAAACACGAACGTAATCGTTAGCGAAATTAATGCCCCGTCATATTAGTGAAAATTTAATTTATATTTATATCCAATTTCTCTCTTTCATTTAATATTTTGAACATTTTAAAGCATTTTTTCGAAACTTCTTCGGTTACTGTACTTTGCTGCTTGGTAACTGCGCGTGTGGCTGAAGTTTGCAAGTTCGTGATGTTATTCAATTGATTGGGAGCGACAAGAATGATAAAAAAAATTAAATATTTGTATTGGTTAAAAATTCGATCGGAATCACTGCACAATGCGACTTTTAAGATTCGTTGAGAGATGATTCAAAGCTTGGTTATGCATATCATTTATCCTCGATTAGTACCAATACAAGCAAATTTTTCTCGCTCTCAAATTCGAAAGGAAAAAAAAGGGGAGTGCGCATCAAATAAAAGCGGGTGTACATTTTTCAAAAAGTATTGCAAATCCAGGTGTGCATTATATAACATTCTATATTAGGAAATTTTGGGCCAATTTCAGGAGAAAATTTGGAAAATATTTAAACAAAAGGAAATTAATTATTTGCAGGCTCAATTCACATGTCGGTACGTACCGCTGAGACCCCAAAATGCGGACACCCCAACATATGGCCAATTTGACTTGGGGACACTTGAAGTTTTTTTAAATCTCACCCAATATACAGACAATAACTCGACTTACGGACTTTTCCCCAACATTTCTAAAAACCGTTGTATAAATGATTGCTTTAAAATTTCAAATTTGTTGAAGAAATATTGAGTTGGTTACAGTTATAAAAATAAGGGTTAACTTAAAATTAACCAAATTCAGAATCAAAAACAGGCTAATATTTTGTGCATCTATTTTTCAATTCATTTGATCATGGGTGCTCAGTGTATAGCAAAACCTGTTCTTGTTCCTTGCTTCATGAGCTTATTTTGATGTGAAAAAATCGTGAAAAATCATATTCTTTGTGGTTTTCTTCGCTTCAGATGTAAATGTAAGACATGACGACATCTTGAAGCCTTAAATACCAGAGAGCATCAAAAGTTAAACACAACCTGCTTTTCTATACTGTATCGTCTGATGCTGTTTTTCAGATTTACCTATTTTTCGTGTCGCAGAAGGAAGGATATTTGATTAAAAGAAATATCAAAGAAGTTGTGATTCGATTGATTTTTCCTACCTAATAATTTTAGTGCGAATTGAGTCTTTTAAAAGTTCAATCGGGATGTTCAATTTATTGATCGTATTGAAGCACATGAACTTTTTTTTACGTTCACTATACCAAATAAATGCTTTTTTCATGTTGAAAAAAGGTTTTTCACGAAAAAACACACATGATGACTCAATAACAAGCACAGTACTGTACTCACTTCTTCCGTACATCCATCCAGCTTCATGATTTCACGGAGTTTGAACGACGTCAATCAGCCAAAGGAAAAAAAAAAATCGAATGCACGTTATAAATTAGACAGTTTCGAACTTATCCGATGCAGGAATTTTTATGAAATACTGTGCATAAAAATGCTTACGACAAAACAAGTAACTTTCGTCATAGTTCAGCAATTCCTTGTTGGCGCAGTTGAAATGCCCGTCGCAAAAAAAGGCACTTCGGATGCAACCTTCAAGATTTGGACAGCGGATGAAGTTTCCGGAATCTTTCAAAAGCCTTTCTACGTTTGCGCATTTTTTGTCCAGAGAATCATCATCATCATCATTCCTTTTTTCTTTGTTGGACGATTTCTTCATGACCACGGGCGTGATGACGAAAGTCGGTTTGAAGGACGGAGAATAATTTCTGCGTCCGACGTTCAACTTCGATGTGGTGTCCTGATTGATTTTTTCGTCTTCATCATACTTTGTCCACCAGACGAGCAATTCCTGGACTTTCTGCGAATTTCTAGCCATCATGGGTGGACTCAGTATTATCGCACGCGAATTTTCAGATTCATCGTCGGTTCCGTCGTCCTCTTGTTCGTTCCGGTCAGAAGGTGCCGAGTCACAATTGGGGACCTTTCGTGCGGATTTCAATTGATCTAATTCAAGCATCTGCTGCTCGTTGTTTTTGACGTTCGAAATCTCATCGTCCTGAACGCATGCGAGTTTTCCTTTTTTGAAACATGCCTTGGTTTTTGGCGTCGTTGTGTTATTGCTGGTCGACCAAGCGGCCTGCGGATAAATACATTTTGCGAAATCTAACGGCAATGGCAGCACAGTACGATTCATGTACTGTATTTTTAAAAAATCAAATTGGATGCGATTCCTGTTCATAGCAAATAACTATGGAAAGCATTGGGAGGTCATTTTATTTGGCAATATGACCCTTGAAAAGTTAGAGATTATATAAGCATTGAAAATACAATAGAATCTCATTACAAGATATCTCATTATAACAACTTTTTGCTTAAAAATTTTGTAAAGTCCTCGCAGTTACCTGAATTATTCTTGTTTTAATTAAGAGATCAATTTTTCACAGACTCTCTGATGGCTATACATTTTTTCCCTTGATTTTCAACAATACCGGGTTTCCTGGGGAAGATAAATGGAAAACAAATGAATCATTTCTCTTCCCCGGGGGCTCATCAGCATGCCTATACATGGTGGAGAGAAAATGTGCTCGCCACCACAGATGAATAAAAAACCGAAAGCGAAAAATTGATTACACATTAGTTGAAAGCAGGAAGCTCATGAAACAAATCATAAATGTTGGCTGATTAATTTATGCAATGTCTCAGGAGTCTGGAAGCACAGTACAGGACCAACTTTGAGCTGGGAAGTCAGAGTCACCAAAATCTGTTAAAAAATTTTCACAAGGGATATTTTTATTTGGATGGGGTAGTTGTAACAAGATTCCACTGTACTTGGGTTTAGATTGAAGTTTATTTGATTCAATGACATTTTTACTTCAGCATTATTCTACTCTCAAGTTGAAAGGGTTTATTGTTTAAAATATATAATACAGTACTTCATTAACTTGAGTAATACGGTACCGGGTCATCCGCCAGTCGGTCAATTGACGGTCGCGCACCTGCCGGTCGTCAAGCGCCGGTCGGTCCAACCGCCAGCCAGGGCAGTTCTTGGCCTCGCCAATCCCCAGTCCACCAAACCGCGGTTCGGTCACCCAATTGTTGGGGCACCGGAACAATTTGGTGAGAAGAATCATGCTGATTCTTTCTAGAATTTGGTAAGCAGAATGGTATCCTACCATGGATTATTTTTTTTTTTACAAAATTTCATCTTATAAAAATTTTTACAAAAAGAAAAAAAGTTATCAAACCCAACCTAACTTAACCTAACATATCCTAACCTAACCTAACCTAACCTAACCTAACCTAACCTAACATTGCTGAAATTTTGAAGAAAAAAATCTGTGGTAGGATACCATTCTGCTCACTGAATTCTGAAAAAAAAATCAGCATGATTCTTGTCACCCGATTGTTTGGGTGCCCCGACAATCGGGTGACCAAACCGCAGTTTGGTGGGCTGGGGATTGGGGAGGCCAAGAACTGCCCTGGCTGGCGGTTGGACCGACCGGCGCTTGACGACCGGCAGGTGCGCGACCGTCAATTGACCGACCGGCGGCTGACCGGACACGGAGTAATACTTACCTTCGCATTGGATGTGGATGAGGGGTTTTATTGGAATTTTTAATAAAATCATACTCCTAAATAAGATGCATGTCCCATTCATAGGGATTCTATAACTGCAGTATTTCAAACATAAGATCATTTAGATTTCACTTTAGACATGAATTGAACCTTAATTCAAATAATTATAAAAATTTTCCAATAAATTCAAGTTTATCTGTTGAACATGATCCAATATTTTGCGTTAGAATCTAGATTTTATACTAATGCTCATGTGAATACCCACAACTTTTTGAATATGTATTCCGAACTATGACATGCACCCCCTTTCTTACTTTTGAATTTATTGAGGAAATCGTTGCATATATGGTACCCAAGGTTAATACAGAAATGAAAATGGTGATAAAGTTTTCCTTGAACCTTGTCCTTGAAACACACCCCAAATTTTAATTTTTTTTTTTTTTTAATGGGAGAATCAGAAAAGATATACATGATTTGAAAATACAGGTTAACACTCTCTACAACGGTCTTGCCTATGAAGGGGAAATTTTCTGGATATTATTGAGGTCTCTTATTGTTATGCTGTAGAGGTTCTTTTCAAAGAAATGATTTCTAAAATGAATTTTTTATGGTGTGTTGTTTTCCTTACTTTGTATGGTGAGAGTCCCAACGCCTGAACAAGAAATTTTTGAAACTCTTTTTGAAGTTCAACAGGCGGAAAACTGGGACCTTACATTAATTTAACCCTCAAAATTTACTGTTTCAAATAATTTATTTTCATAATTCATCAATCAACGTAGAAGTGTAAAATTTGAAGATTTCGGTTTCACTCACGTAGATGCATCCTTTTTGCCAAAACTCAAGAACAAGGTTGAATCGCAACTCGAAATCCACTCCGTCCTCTGATTCCGGGTGTGGCCTCGTATTTAAATCCTCGACCGTCAATTTTAGCGCATTTTTCAGGTTTTTTCCGTTTGTTTCTCCAGGACGCAGAAGAACACCGGTTTCCGCCAACAGAACATGATTATGGATTTCTGAGCCAATTTGCGACGTGAAGTCAGCTTCCAATTGACGCAGTTGGAATGTTTCATACGACGATCCTGTGTCAAGGGACATACGTTAAGAAACATATTAAGAAAGCTCACTGTCTTAATTCACATTGCAGAATAACGTTAAATTACCAGTACTTATTACGATCGAGGAAACTCTTATTTGAGCTACTTTTAGCCTTTGACTACTATCAAGCTTAACTTTATTATTAAACCTTAGGCGTTGGCCTCCTTGTGTTTAATCTAATACTACACTTGAATCTACATGAATTATGGTTTCGGTGCTAAGTCCTTTTGACTATATTCAAGAATAATCACCTCGTAATTCAAAAACGGTAATTTTTCATTTCATGAATCTATACATAGACCACCCTATAATTCTAAAATCAGAGCCCAATAAAATACTGTATAGCGAGGTAATTATAATGGAGAATAGCACAATACTGTACATAATTAAACATTGTGGATCAAGGAAGTCTTCAAGGAAAACAAATGCAACGCAAGAAATTTTTTTTGTTGAGAATGTAAAATTTAGTGTCATTTTACCGGTAGAATTATACTTTATTTTTTATCTCGGCAATAAGAATGTGCTACCCACTTTCAGCAGACACGAAACTTCGCTGAAATACAGCACACAAAGTCAGCAACACCAACGGAAACACTCTTTCCTCCATATTGTTTTCCCCTAAAAAAAAGAACTCGATCCTGATATTCCTGACTGTTGGGCGTTCTTCTGTCAGGATAGATTTAAGGAATGCACGATATTATTTGAGCACCTGATGGATTGTCCCACAGAACCGCAAGATAAATTCGAATACTGTATGACTTTGCATAAACGGAAGAACATTCAAAAAAATTTGGAAAAACCGTCAGTCGATCAAATATTTTGCTGATAAACGTGAAAATCAACAGGAACGAACCTGCGCGAAGTGTACTGTATTAATCTTCACACGAATAAGAAAAAAAAGAAGGCCAAGAAACAGATTAAATTATTGCCACGGAGAACTAGACCACACAACCTGGATATTTTTTTGATTTTTCACTTGATTTTTGGAAATCTTGCAGCAATCGGGATATCTACATCATGAGTCTCGTGACGTAAAACGCCAGCTCGAATGCACTCGAAGTTAAAGTTACGTGGTAAAGTCCTTACTAGCTGTTATTTTGATTGGAATAGAGTAAATGCGGTATAAGAGAGGTTTGGGGGGAGTGTGTAAAAACCCAAAGTCGTGGTGATAAGATATTGCGACTTGGACAAGGAACAAACGGAAACAGGTGTCTGAATTTTTTTTAAAGGAAGTTTCCGAGAATTTCGAGAAGTAAAGCTCTTATTTTCAGAAATTGTACAGTACTTGGGAAACTCGAATCACGGCCTATGAATTTCTCAACTTACAATGAAAAGCTATGTGACTTTTTTCCTGCGGGTACCCAGTTTCCCAAGCATGATTTTTTCTTTCATATATGTCATGAAGATATCTCCCGAATTCCCGCAATCGAAAATTTTAATCTATCAAACCAACGTTTGACGAACATGACTTAGCTATCCTGAGTGCAGATACCCTATGCAATTATGTAACTACATTACTGTACACTTGCTGAACAAAAATCTGCTGAAGAAATGCGTAGAACGTGTGTTGCATGAACTAAATGTGACACAAAATCTGCCTCTGAGTGTGTATAGAAACTTTTAGTCACCTGGCCAATAATGAATGAAATTTGATTTTAGAGAAGAGACATTTTCATATTTGCAGCCTGAACTTTTTGGTGAAACCTTGCAGGTGCAAAACTGTACTCTTCTTTTTGAATGCCCCAAGTGGGACAACTTTATTTTATTTGCTGCACCTGGTTTTAGCGATTTTTATCAAGCCAGGGATGTGTGCTGATTTTATCAGCAAAGGGTTTTGGTGGAAAAGTAATTTTGCGGAAATTGGAAGATCTCAAAAACTATGCATTGTATCAATATTTTTGTGATTATCAAATTTGTTGGAAATTGTGCAATCTTAAATTTGAAACATTGCGCAGTTCTATATATTCGAAATTGAGTGAGATATTTGCTTCATAAGTTAGCATTGCGAATTACACAATTGTACAAATTTATCCTTGGAGAATTTCCTGGTTTCCAGGACTTGTTTTATTGTTGAAAAGTGCCTATATGCTCATGCCTGTTGTTTTGTGTATATAAGGCATTTGAAATTGTGAATACATCATCAGTCTCACAATAACTGGCAAACAGTTGCCTGTTGTCTCATTTTTTCTCCCTTTTGACTTAAAACTCCAATCCTAGCTTGGGAGCTGCTTAAACGCTCTTCCACTTTGGTTTTCTTTAAAATCGGAAAAAGTCTTGTGGAATTTCTTTCAAAACCAACCACAAATGTGTTAGTGACATCTATGCAATAAAAGATGAGAACTTTGAAGAGGGCTTCTGATGAAGTGGGCTAAGAGTAGCCAATACAAACTGCTAAGTTTGAATTCAATCCTATTTGAATCTCGCATGCTGCTTCAGAAATGTATAAAACGTCTCTAGTTTCCTAATTTCCCCCTTTCTTTGCATACGTGTTCATTTTTCTGAGCTAGGGGACTAAAACGCTGGAGAATGCGTCGGAAATACGTTGATCTCATTGTGATGGATCTGGATCGATGGCATAAATCCGATTGCATTAATTCTAATCTAATCTCTGTGAAGTCTAGAGGTTGATTATAAGATTATGAAGACGATATCCGGACATGATTAAGCCCGATTTCTTATTTTCAATCGGGAAGGTGATGCATCAATTAATTTTTCCAGCTCTCGCGTATTCTCGATATTTCAGGTGATGCACATCCAATAGATTCTTGGGCAACAAATGTTCTTAGCAACGAACATATATGTCATATAACTAGCCCGGTTTCTTACGCCATTATGAGAAATACAGCTTGAGGAAAAAAGCCTCAAAGGCAAGTAGAAAAAAAATGTTGTTGCATTAAAAATTCTGGAAATGGAGCAAATTTCGAATTATTATGGCAATATACAATATTCCCAAATGAGGAAAAAATATCGAATTGAAAGAATGTAAATCAAAAATAAATTAAAATTCTGAGGGACTTCAAATGTCTCATAAGTTTCTATTTTTCCATATTTTTGATAACTTCCCATCGAAACTCATCACTTTTTAATGTTTTCCTGATAATTTTGTCCGTTTTCGACGTTTTCATGCTCATTTCCCCCATTTCATATGGACAATCTTGCATGGGGGACCAACAAAATACAGTACTTATTGCCAGTTGTTGGGGTTCCATCGGAAATTGTCCCTTACTACGTGCGAAAGTTTTGAACAGCAAACCAATAAACCACTAGAATGGACAAGATTCGTTGATCACGGCCCCAATGTTTTCTGTTTTCTCTATCGATGAAGATCTGGAAGCATTAAGTCCTCGTTAGCATTCATGAGCTCTCACGAACACATTTTATCATATCATCTTATAGGGCTTTCACTCATCTCGAAGACAATAATGACTTCATTGAATAAAATGAAATACCGGTAAGTACTGTTCTGTAATAGTGTATACCGTATTCAAAATCTCAAGAAATAACCAGACTCGTCAGCAATATCCGAGGTTTATTTATCTCTTTGGGATCGGTTCGCTCTTTGATGGAGGAAAACGGCGATGATATTCAATAGCAAGAAAGGAAAAGAACGAAAATCCGGGTAACTGAATGAACCTGAGGAACTGCGACGAATCATTCAAAAACTAATATAATGTATGCACGTACAATCGAATAAATGAGATCAGCACCAGTGCAGATCGTTCTCCTTTCCACAACCCTTGGAGTTCACCTGCATTTTCGAATATTTGCGGGAGTAGTTTACTTTCGGCAAATATTTCTCCTTCTCTCTTAAATCTTTTGTTTTCAAAATTGACCTCGAGACTTCCCTAATAAATCAATAAAACTCAGAAGAATAAAGGAAAGAAAATGATTGTCAAAAGAATTTCTCCCGGCCTGTTAATACGTGTTTGATTCGCACATCATGAGTTGCACAATTTGCAAAAAAAATGATTCTGAATCATAGCACATCATAATTTTAAGGTGTTATATAAGTGCAACAAAACATATATTAACATACCGGTATATATGTGCATTTCATCTGTCGTAAGCGTGATCGTTCTGAATTAATCTGTTTCTGTGGCTCAGAGTTTAAAATATACTTTACATTTTCAGTGGAAATGCTTCATATCGCAAATTGCACTTGCATAAAAAAAATCTCTCGACATACACACAGGATCGTGCAGTTTGATTGCGATCCCAATTATTATCTAATTACTTTTACCCTTCTTTTTCATTCACCTGTCGCAGGTATATGGAGCCTCAGAAAACTTTGCAATGAGCCCATCAGGGTTCTGTGCAATCCAAAATGGGAAACTCCTCCTATAGAGCTTGTTTTTTTTCTCGGAAATGAAGAACGTGAGGTTGAATTGGTTATGGGATGACAACTTGGATAGCAACAACTGGAATAGTGACAAGTTGCACACCAACAATAACTTGCACCCTGCAATGACTGAGATAGTGACAACTGGCACACTTTTTTTTATTGATTTTTTAAAACTTTTTTTGAATATAATTTTTCCATTTATTCTTTGCAGATTGTTCCTTGCCTGGAGGAAGTTTGAATGTATGCTAATTCCTTAGAAGGACAGTCAAGGGGCCCTTCCGTATCAATGATATAAAATACCACCTATTCAGAGGAGAAAAAATTACAATATCACTTCATCAGTTATCCTCAGGGATATTAATCATTTGACTAATTTATATAGAGCAATTGTTCAGGTGGTGTTCAATTACCTCCAAATGGGATTCAGGGGAGGTGTGAGCCCTTGGATTTGTAAAATTAAAATGGATAAGGATTTTGAAAGTGAATACCTTGACACAAATTTCATGTACTGTAGGTTGAAACAGTGAATTGAAACAAAAGGGCTCTCTGACTGTCCTTCCAAGTCTAAGGAATTAGCACACCTCTCAAACTCGCAGGCAAGAAAAAACTGCAAAGAATGAATGGGAAAATTATATTCCAAAAAGTTAAAAAAATAAAAAAGCGTGCGAGTTGACGTTATCCCAGTTGTTGCAGGGTGTGAGTTGTTGGTGTGCAACTTGTTTCTATTCCAGTTTTAGCAATCCAAGTTGTCAGGGAACTGGTTGAATTATTATTCAACATTCCTCCGGAAAAAAACTAATGATTTACTGTATGATGCAAAATATTCCTCTTATGTCAACTTTGAAATCTAGGAAAATGCATGCATTATTCTGCAATGTCAGGTATCAGTGAAAATGAACGTTGCTTGCAACTATAAGAACTGAAACTAAAGCACAGAAATGTCAAAATTCCTGCAAGGAGAAAAGATAATGCTGATGAAAGATGGTTACTTGGAAAAAAATCATCTGCGGGAGTCAATTAATTGCTCCGATTCAACTTCGCGCTTCTGCGTTGTTTCCATTATACATCAGTAATGTTTCATATACCGAGGAAAAACATACATAAGCCGAAAAGCGTTAATTCTAATCGCAGGTATAAACCTGCTGGCTTCATCTCAAAAGAATAAAAGGATTGTTTCCAATTAGAATCCCAGGATCTCCTCATTTCTCATTTCCTTGGCCCGAGTGCTTGCGATGATGATGTCGATAATTCTTCCGCCGTTTCCTTTTGTTTCCAGCATCCGTATTATTGGCTGCGTTTGTTGCAGTGCCAGAGGCTCCATCTTGCGGAGCCCCATTCACCGGAGTGTTCGCAGCTGATGCTGCAGTTGGTGATCCTCGAGATGAATTCACGTCATCTTTCAACTTTTCCTGGCCTCTTTTCCCCCTGGATTGCCTGAATTTATCTTCATCTTGGTCACCGACAGATGACAACGACATGATGCTGCTGGAGGGTGAAACTGCTGCCATCAACGAAGACTCTTTGTTTCTTCCGTCAGCGATGCCAACTGCTGATACGGTGTCATCATCCGGCGACTGACGCATTATTTTCAAGTCTTGTGAGACATGGAGAACCGTGAGCACGGAATCAGCTGGTAAACTGGGCTCTTCGGATAAATTTAAAACAACCGAAGCGTCTTCGTTGCCAGACAGCACACCGAGATCTTCTTCCTCTGTCAACCCTTGTTCTTCATTGCCATGTCCTTGAACGTTCAAATAGTCCACCGGAGCGGAAGATGAGGACGAAGCGCAACAAGTGCTCGTGGTTGTCAAGATGTCTGCGCTCTTCTCCATGCCGATGTACACGACTTGAGGCTCATCTGCTATGGGTAATAATTCTTGTTCTTTCTCAGCTGCTGCAGACTCAGTCTCATCCAGGCTTTGCTGGAAATCATCAGGCTGCTCCATGTCTTCAGTGTCTGTCCAAATTTCTTGATCGTTTTCCGGAGGAGCGAGAGTGGTGCTGGATACTCGGTCAGTAGGAGCGACCTCTTGTATTTTCCAATGTTTACCGGCAGCCGCGAACGCGTTCAAAATTGCAGGGATGTCGCTTCCAAGGTCCGAGGAAGCGTATGCCGACGAAGTCAAATGCCAATTGCGAGTTTCTTCAGTTTCTTCGTTCTCAGACTCATCAACCAGGATTTCTTCGGCTTCGGAAACTGGTTCTGCTGCTTGGTCAAGAGTAGGTGTCAAAAGGTGTCGTTCGTGATGGTTCACTGCTGGTGACACAATGCTCAGTACGCCATCTGTTGGAGATGGAAGGCAAGTGATCATCATCGTCGTCGGACGCCTGTTGTCCTCGTCAACCTCTTTCAGGAGACTGAGTGCGAGAGACTTTCGTGGGTCTTCGGAATCTTCCACGTCTTCTTCGTCAGTCAGAGCTTCTTCTGACCTGGTCTGTCTGACGGGGATCATTTTCGTCGACGACGTTTCGAGCGGCTCGCTTATGGTCGACGTTGACTTGCCTGACATGCAGCTGCTGCGTCTCCTGTTGAATGAGTACATATTCGGGTTCGGGAAATCCACTGACCGCATATTGCTGTTCATTTCCTGCTGATTTTCGTCGCAGGTGACGAAGGAAATCGGACCCGGAAGCTCGTATTCCGGCGGGTCTTCCGCTTCTCCGTCGGAAGAACTGACGTACGGATCTTCTTTGGAGCAGTGGCAAGTTTCATGTGTCTCGGAAAAGTCTTCCACGTCTGTGTCTCTTTGCTGCTCTTCTTCCAGGTTTGCAGGAGAAATTGGTTCCTTGAGAAATGCCGCAGTGTGGCCACTGGTGCCCGTGGAATCCCGGCTCAGTTGGTCACCTGTTTTCGAGAGGATAATATGCGCATGTTATTCTTGTCAAAATCTCCGCATATTAATGATTCATCAATTTACAGTTCAATTTAATGGTATAGAATCTGAGTAAAATGAATAATGGCGTGAGACATTATTTTTTCAGGTTCCCACCCCATATCCACCATGTTTAATGAGTTAATTCATGATACTTCATTTTACAACAAAGCCATTTCACTCATACCCATGGCTTTGCTGTTTTGAGATTTTCCTGTATAAGCAGATTATTGACAGTAGTGGGGCCTCAGCTAACAAATGCTGCCCGGCCCCCCCCCTCCCAATCTTTTAGAAAGTTTAGAGAAGCACTCAAATACCGCATATAACCTCAATAAATGAGACAGCAGGCAGCTCTATTTTTTAACTCAAATTTTTAAAAAAATCTATGCCTTCATCAGATGCTTATCTTAGTTTTCAGTTCTCAAAATTAATATTTTGAAAAGTACATGGGGTAAAATTCAAACTGCAAGTCCGCTTGAAAGACTACTTCAATGTTCACGTTTTTTCTTCTGCAAAAGCAGCAAAACAAAGAATAATTCAAGAAGAGAAATTAAAAAATATATAGTCAAGTGGAGAAAAGTTGGAAGATTATAACAAATATGCCTGAGGAAATTTGTCCCGGATAATAACGTGGGCTGCACACTTCATTTTATGAAAAAATTGTGTGAGTGGTCCTCCAAAACATGTACATAATTACCAGCTTCATTTTCATTGTCATCATCAATATTGATGTTCTTCAGCTTGTTTCTCTGGGCAAGCAGCAGAGGTCGACGCCAGCGTTCCACCACGGCAATGCAATACAGGGTGCTGGTCCACTTGTCCACAGCCTTCCGCAGCGGCTGTTCGCTGGTGTTGGCGTCTTGTTCCTCTGCCCAAGTGCTTCCGGTTACGGAAACATCCGAAGACCACGTGTTTTCTTCTTCGTCGTCGTCGTCTTCTTCTTCATCATCCGAATTCCGCCTTTTTCGGGATTTCTTCTTGATTGCGAAGTTGTGTTTGCCGTCTCGGATGGCTTCGGCCTCTTCGAATTCCGCGTCCTCGTCGCTGACTTGTGTGAGCAGGTCGTCGTCTTCATCAGTCAGCACGGTTTCTTCGACTCCGTCTGCATCAGCTTGATATAGAAAAGGGATGCACAATAATTGAATGTACCGAAGGACTAGTCAGCTCTTCGTTATACTGTATTAGTGCAAAATATTTGATACAAATTTCAGGATTTCGTTTGGATACTGCGAGACAGGACTTATTCGGAAGAATGGGGAAGAACTCATTGAGGTACGAATAGATACAAGCATGATACACCAGAGGTTCGAAATTAATCATAATAATTTTAAATTGAGTTTGAAAAGCAAATAAAAACTTATTTCTATAGAAGCAGGACGTGGTATCATATGAAAATACTGTACTGTAGTTGACATTCTTCGCAAAAATGAAAATTAATTAATGGTCTCTCTGAAACGATTCACGATAATCACGAACCATCATTAGGGATTGAAGACCACAAGATAAAAACTCTTTCTACACTTTACAACGGCTTTATTAGAATAAATAACTAAGATTTCTGAATTTCACACGGATTTTTTCTCGTATTGCTTGTATTATTCTTGATTTAAACACGTTTCTATAGCACTTTCTATAGCCTTGAAAACTCAGTGGTTCCGATAGTTTTAAAACACGTGTACATTAGAAAGTTTGCTTGAATTCAAGTGTGCACTTGAAAATATGCATCTGAAAACGTTATGGTACTAAAATTTGAATACCAGGAGTTTAAAGGGACGGCCAAATACAGAAAGAAATTCATCAAACGTCACCATAATGAAGTGGGACCCAAAATGCAGAAATATAAACATCGTGATGGGATTTTTGTCCTCTGTCAGAGCTTCAGGATGTCAGATCAGAGTTTCCCATGAACATCAATGAAAAGACATTAACTGGTTCTCCGGTTCATGGAACATTTGGAATAAAGTCCATCGAAAATTGGAATACAATGTTTTTCAACTTTAAGATGCAGAAAATCGGCGTTTCTTGAAGATGAACCTCACAGAACCAGTTCTTGTGTCATCTGAAGGAGTTCAAGAGGCAAAGAACAAAAACAAGCCTGGCTCTACTAATGTGTACATATATTACTGAAAAAAAATTCTGAAAAGAGCCTAAAATCAGTCTGTTACTGCTTAAAATTTAGACGAGTGATTTTATAATTGAAATATTTAAAACTTTTGTTAATAATAAACGCAATGCAGCTCAATTTATCGTTCTTTAGAGGTATGGCAATTTAGAAAAACAATGTCTTCAGTTTTTATGGAAATGATGGAAACGTTTCTGTATACAGTATTGAGATATTCTCCAGATGTCAGCTAGGGTCCCACTGCTACACATTTGTTTTTTTCCTTTCATTTGAGGATACATAGATGTCACTGCTAGGGAATAGGCATCACTGCGACCAAGTGACTATATATAGACACAAGCGGGAATCAGCTCTGCTCTGATTCAGTCATGCGCACCTGGAAAGTTGCCCATGAAATCCGCTGTAGTGTGAGAATCACGTCTTTCATTGAAGGTTCCCTCTTTTTTCATCCGACGAGCATTGGAGGTCATGGTCGTGACCTGCAACGGATCGGCTTTCTGCAGAATGCTTCCGCCCGAATCATCATCACCCAAAAGCGTTTCCCTTTCCAGCATTTCCCACGCGGCATCCGGAGGCAAATCGACTTCCTCACACTCAGTCGCTGTGCTGCAAACACTGTTCCTCTTATCGTAGCCGGGTTCCGAGTTGGGCTTGATCCTGGTGGCCGTCAGAGTATTGCTGCCATTCTCAGCAGTCACGGATGCTGCCGAGTCATCCGCGCTGAATTTCTGCTTGCAATTCCAGCAGCTGTTGGGTAACTCGTGGGTCTCCAGCTTCCTGGTCGTGGCTTGCTGCTCGCTCAGGGCCTTTTCTGCTTGGAAAAACGCGAGTTTCCCTTCGTCGTCGTCTTCTTCTTCTACGAACTCGACACTCTCCGCTTCGTCGTTGTCGTTGTCGTCGGAAATGGAGCAAGATTCCGTCTCGTCTGACGAGTGTCGTCTGCGTCGTCGTGCTTGCTGGCGCTGACGATGAGGCCCGGATTTCGAAGCACAGCTGCCTTGCCAACCGCTGTCGTCTTCTTCGTCGCTCATCGCCCCGTTTTGCTTCCAGCTACTATTATTATTAGTATTCTTATTGCTGGATGCGTTGTGTCGTTGATCGTCGTTGACGAGCATGTCTTCGACGTCCGTGAGAGCTTCTTCATCCATCGGGATCGGACTGACGCAAGGGGAGAATTCCTGGTTGGGGGTTTGAAGCCAGGTCGGGATGCTGCTGTCATTGTGGCTGGGACTGCAGCAGTCGGAAGTGACTGAGATCAGGGGAACTTTGGCCAGATCAGTCATGATTTCTGAGATTTCAAATCGAAAATGCACATTCGTTGGACTCAAGTATCATTCGTGGGCTCGAATATACAGTGGAATCTGAAAATAAACTACTCTCCGAGGAGCGCAGGAAATATTCCAAAACAATAATGAATAAAAGTGATTGCGGAAAACATACGTCGAAATATGACAGAGGCCTTCTTATTCAATCGTCATCATATAGGGCAAACATATGATATTGCTGCGAATCGCTAAGATTGAGAACGAATCCGCGGCAGATACTTTTTTCAAGTATGCAATCAAGGAACTGCATAAATTAAGTAAAGTACTGTACATGTTCTTATAGCCGAGGAACGCAAAAAAACATATACAGTGAGACCCCCCCCCCCCCATGCGGACGCTTCGACCTACGGACAATTTGACATAGGGACACTTGTTTTCAAAAAAAATCAATAAATAAGGCCCAACATGAGGACACTGGCTCGACATAGGGACATTTTGTGATAAAATTGCAAACACATTTCAGACAAAATTACAAGAAACAGATCTTTCCAACCCTAAAATTGATGTAAGCAAAGTTCTTGGGCATTTCTCTCACCAAATTACCATCAATTTAGATAGTTAAAAAAATTACCTCCAGCATAGATTGAGGGACTTACACTTTTTTTCACTTGAATTTTATTTTTGTAGATGCCAAAATTTCAGTGTACAGTACAGATATACACTATTAAATGCTCCAAATGTTCTTATTGAGTTTAAAATGTATTCAGTAATTGAAATTCAAGTGACAAACAATTATTTTCAGGGAATTCCAAAGAATATTTCTTCCACAAAACACCAATTAAAAGTTATATAATGTAAGTTTATGGGAAAACAAGACTCAACTTAGGGACATTTTGACTTGAAGACACTCTTGATGCACCAATTACGTCCGCATCTTGGGGTCTCACTGTATAACAGCGTCCCTTTGAAAATTCTTCTAAAACGCATCACTTGCCAAATATCAAATCTTCCATCAGGTTCATGCGAAAATGTTCTTTACATTTTGAAAAAATGCCCATAATTGGAAAAAGGGAATAAACATATCAGATTGTGGCTTTCGAATGAGGGAGAAAATAACAAACATCAATTATTTGATTGCTTTTTGGCGTTTGACTCAGTGATGAAAACAATTTCTGTGTTTTTCTCCCAGCTGATTTTTGTTGAAATACTGAAAATTCTTCCACGAAGTAAATTCGTTCAATAGCTTTGATTTTGTTTCCCGAACCAATTTCTGCATGAATAAGCTGCTGTCTTCATTTTAAACATTTTGCACGCGATTATAGACACCAACAACTTCACTGCAATTTGTTTCTGATGGTCTTCAAAGTTTATTCGGTAATAATGTCCTTGGGTGCAGTTCAATTCATCAAAATAGAAACAAATACAGCAGCTATAAAAAATTTAGCAGGATCTTGCTGATAAAAAAATCAGTCGAGTTAAAAAAAAAACTTTTTATTCCTACATAATAGACAAATTCGTATGTTTATTGGATTCAAGCCATCAGCACCAGTGCTGCTGATGACTTGGCAATGACCTGACTGATAAATGTCAACATATTTGACCTGTGTGAGCCCATTTGCGAAAACCCCGGCAAACCACGGCAAAGCTTCCACGTCGGTGAGAACATTCCTACTGCTGAATAAGGGCTTTGAACATTCAACTACCATGTGTGAGAAACCCTTCAAGTTATGACGCATTTTGCTTTTTGTGGAAGCAAAAAGTCCACCTGGGAAGAGAAGATCAGCTATTTTGTTCAGCCCAGCTGGAAGAAGCCTTACAAACCCAGTCACTTACGTTTTCTTCATTCTGGAATGTTCACAAAGTAATTCGGGATCCAGCACCTCTAGAATTCTTCTCAAATCCATCAATGATTCGTTTAAATGCGAATAATTCTGATTTCGAACGTCTTCAACAATCTTCCCAGTCGTAGCCGAGAATGCATTATTAATGCTTAGCTGAATTTTAAATGAAAACTATGGACCGTGTTATATAAACGTGTTCTTCTGTTCACAGCTGTCCGCTGTTTTTTGTTTTTGTTTTTTTTGCGAAGCGAAATGACTGTTTTGTTGGATAACAGGAAAACTCTCTTCCAGAAATTCAAAGGTATTGAATAAGGAAAAATTGCATTTTATTTCAACTTATTTTCACGCTTCAAAAACATGAAGATCCGACGTGTTTCGTTTCAGAAGGGAATTTAGCAACATTTTCATGACCTTTTTTATTATCTTTGAATTTGATTCAAAATTTTTCCGAAAAGATAAAAAGGGGAGAAAAATTGAGATGAAATAGACTATTTATTCATAGATGATAAACTCTATAATCTTCCATGCAAATTCATGCAGAAAATAAGTGAAAATGACAAGCAATATGAAGTAAGGACAACAAAGAATATTATTTAAAGTGGCCTAACAAAAGTTCTCGGGAAAGAAATCAAAACGGAATTTGGTCGAGCTGAAAAACAGTGTTTGTTCAGAAAAGCAATTCTTCAGCACAATAAAAATTTAAGACCTGCTTAACATGTTTTTAGGATTTTTTGAAAAAAAGTCTCCCTGCATGCTGGCTGTCTCCATTTTTCCCCAGATAATTCTGACCTTTTCATTTACAGCTGCCACTAATTATCATCAATTAATAATGAATGATTAAAATCATGTTTCGTTCAAAAATTTTGAAGGAGAAACAAAAGTTTTGCGAGATGGTCACCTATTAATTTGAGCGAAGAACAGAAAGCTGCCAGAAAAAAGTTACTTTTTCAAAAAATTCAGCATATGTCCAACTTTTTTTTTGCGTATAAAAAATGTATTTTCTGAACAATGTTTTTCAGCTCGATGGTGTGCAGTTTGAATGTACAGAATATTTTCTAGACCCCTCCCATATCCGTACTGTTGGGTAATTCAGTGCTGAATGCTGAAGAGTGAACATTTATTTTTGGGATGTGTTTCATTACATGCAGATTTTCCAAGTAAAATCCCCATCCCTCCCATTCTCTTTAATTTTATTTTCTGCCAAAAAGAGACATATACCAATTATACTTCTGAAGTTCGACGACAGTCATTAAGTTTCTGAATTTTCCTGTAATTCATGTAGATATATTGTAGGGAAAATCGCAATAAAATACAGCTCAATATGGAAGCAAATGCAAGAGCCGGGTAAAACCGAGTGGAACAGAACTTGCGAAAAATAAATAGGTGCTTGGAACTGCGCAGCTCCCGAGTCATGAGGATTTGACACCTGTTTGACAAATGAAAGCCTGTGGGAGGAGGGTCCAGCGCAGGCTAAAAACCAAAGGGGGGTGGGTGACGAGAGGTCAGATCTCACGCTGGGAAGCTAAGGTCAGGTGCGGCGGCAGCAACGGGGGGGTTGCGAAATCGAGGCCGAAATCACGACTCCACAGCAGTTCACCCAGCCCATGCAGCTAGGGGAGTTCAGTTTGCCAAAACGGATGTCAAACGTTTTATTTTTCTCTTTTTTTCGTTATTCCTATACCAGCATACCGTACTTTAAATTAGTGTTCCTCAGCCATTCCGGGCCCCGAGGACCAGCAAATTTCCATAAAATTTTTTGCTGACCAGCTAATTCCCAAGGCATTTTTTGCAGACTGGCAAAGCTTCATAAAATGTCGGCGGACACACAAAACTTTTCTTTAAAGAAATGGCAGGTGTTTAAAAGTATCTGCTTTTATTTCAAAAATGCAGGTGATCACCAATGAAGCAGCGGTACAGCTGAATGTCGTGAAAAAAGTTAGAAAAGTTGACTTGAAGAAAGGTTTTTTGGAATGAAAAATGAAAAAAATTAATTGAGTAGGTGCAAATTTGTCTGAAATGTTAATAGGAGAGAAGCCAGCTTTTATTTTCATCAGATAATCTCTCCTGTAAATGCCCTTCCAAAATTTCAAGTATGGTTAACAGACTTCATTGCTACTTTTGAAGAATTAATTGTGCTGAAAATTTCCTGTGGACTGGCAAAAAAATTCTTCAGACCAATGCTGGTCCAAAACCTATTTTGATTCCCCAAGGAAATGAACTCAAGGAGTAAAAATCCTTTAAACACAGCTTTGAGAAAGAACCAGCCATTCAGGAAATCGTATTAGTTTTCAAGGCATTGTCCAATTTACCAATCCTGAATTTACTGTATCTACAATTGAAGACCTTCCAGTAACACGTGATTAATGTTCATGTAACATTTCATGGTGCATGTACTGCTGCTTGAAGAGCGTCCATGTAATCATCTGTTCCTCTGGAAAGGGTTGCTGGATTATTTTTGTCTCCCACATGAGTAACTATTATCAAAAACTGGAATAATTTAGTATAATGTAATAATGCATAGATGCATTTCATCCAATTTCTTTCTGCAAATAAATTGTGGTACGCACCTTACTTAAATCAAGCAAGTACTGTAACAGGACTTCAGAGGAAAAAAATTGGTTCTCACACTGATACTGTATTCGAAAAAATGTCCAAATCAATTTTGTGAAAATCTGTGAAACAAAGGCAAAAGAGCACTCATGAGTATCATGACACTTATTCATATCACATACCATATTTACTTGAGTACCACGCGCACCTTTTTCTCAAATTTCAGAAGAAAAAAACAGGTGCGCATCATAAGCAGGTACAAATTTTTCAAGAAGTTTTAGGAAGTTGTGTGTGCATTATACTTATTTATAATGGAGAAAGTTGAAAAAAATGTAACAAGAAAACTTTTTTGTACTGAAGAAATTGAAAATTGATCAGATTTTTGTTCAATTCATGTCTAGAGTCAATTTTTTGTTTTTATTTTCAAAATTTTGTGGTTTTAGATTCATTAGAATTTGGGGTGCGCATCTTACTCAGGGATAAGATTTTAGCCAAATTTCCAACTGAAAAACCCTTGTGCATGCCTTCCTTGAGGGTGCATGATACTCAAGTAAATATGGCATTATATTTTGAGGAATATGGTGAATATGCTTTATTTGCGACATGAATATTCCACACACACACTCAAACAAATTACGCAATCTTCCATCATCCTGAGAGAAAATGTCGATGGTAAAAGATTGACTTGGGGAGAATTTCTTCGGAAATGAAGAAAAAAAGA